ACAGCAAGCCGCCAAACCCTACGCCCCTGGCTGCGACTGGCTCTGGTCCTCCGCCGTGGTCAATAGCACACAAGCGCCAGACGATTATGAACCATTGACCATCTTCCCTCAAATGCCGATTTTGCCGCCGTTGGAACGATAACCCGCAACTGGGGCTCGTGCCCACGACTCCGACCCGTACGCTCGCTCTCTTAACGTCTTCTTACTCAGACCTCTAGTTCCACCTCAGCTGAGCTCCCGGTCCTGAATAACCATACCCCGCAAACAGTTTTTCCACGCTCCGTGTGTGTGTTTGCAACACAGCACACCGCACACATAACTAGACGAATAAAACTCAGCTGGACGAATAATCAACGCCTACCACGACGCTCCCCTATTTGTTGCAACAAAACGAGTCTACACAAACGCCGGGAGTAATTTTTTTTGGGACAGAGGAGGCCATGGCGAAGAGCAAGAACCATACCAACCACAATCAGGTAAGTATCCACAACGTAGACCAAACCCTGCCGGTATTCAGAAGGGTCCAAGCGGGTGAAAACACGCACGGCTGAATGAGGTTTACGTTGGGTTGCACCATTGGGTTGCTCCGTTTGGGTCAGTGTTAATTTGAATGTTATTAGAGCCGTAAAGCCCATCGCAATGGCATCAAGAAATTGAGTCTGAAAAAGGTTGTAACGCCGGTGAAGCACTTGTGCCCTAAGTACAAGAAGAACTTGAAATCGTCTCGTGGTGCTAACTGGAATGCCCGTTTCGGTGATGCTTCTGAGTCAGGATCTGAAGAGTAGATTTTTTCGATGGTAACTATATGACCCCATTTTGTCCCGTATTCGGCTGGCCTGGGGAGGATCCAAGTTAGTTTTGAAAAATGGTTGGGGCTATTTTTGTTGGGACTGCGGATGCTTAGGAATTACGACCTACAGGGTCGTCGTGTATGCGGGCTCGTAGATGTGCCGGCACGGAGGCTATTGATAGGGCTTCTTAAATCAATTGAATCACCCTCGAGCGATGACTTCCAATGCGCCCATGATGCGTTTTGCTTGATTGACGATCTGTCAATCAACGAGTGCTATCTCCACTACGTAAGCCAGGTATGCCTGCCATTCACGTTCCTCTCGTCTTAGGCAGTATGTTTACTGCTGTCGGTGGAGACGTCATCTGAAGTACTAAAGTCAATTTGTGACGTGTTGACCCTTACTTTGATAGCCGCCCGAGAATACGGAGCGTTCGTACTCGAGCCGGACAGTTACCTTCCCTTGTACAGAGACAACATTGAGAGGGCACACAAAACGAAGGACATACTATTCACTCTATATACTATCAAGGAGTTCCGGATCTGGAGGGGACAGCAGCACGGACAAAACTGGGGCTTCGACACAGCTCATCAACGACGAAATGCGCGGCTACCCCGGCTTCACCCGAGTCCGAACGAGCCCATTAGTTCGCATCAGCTGCCGCGACCCCAGATTTTCCTCAAAGGCATTTGCGATAATAATTGGCTAGGGGATGATGAACAATGTCGAGATGAAAAAGGAGGAGATGAACAATGTCGAGATGAAAAAGGAAGAGATGACCCGTCGCTGGATTACTGGTCAGAACACGACCTGGACGGTGGTGGCGCCCATGAAGTAATTCGGACCCGCTTATCGGACTGTGGACCTCGGAGACCGGATAGTTGGGATGCTTGCACGAGTCAAAAGCCGGACCTCGTGAGCGCTGACTCTGCGGAACGGGGATGTATGTCTGAACCTTGTTTATATAATGACGTTGGGCCCTTACCCGGGGCACGTCGATGTCCGGCCGTCTGTGAAGACTCCGACAATGAGGACTTCATCAATGAAGATGAGGACTACGTCAATGAAAACTCGGGTGAACAGGTGGCGGAAGGGGCACCAGATCAAGAACAGGATTATTGGAAGCCTGACGCCATCATCAAGCGGGGTGGTCTTTTATCAGACGTGAGAGACCGTGAAGATATAACCAAGTCCGAGGCATCGAATGGATTCAGGTCGAATGGACTCAGGTCGAATGGACTCAGGTCGAATGGACCCGGGTCGAGTGGAGTGGGGTCAAGTGGAGTGGGGTCGAATGACGCCGTGCTTTCTTCAGCCGAGAATATGTCGGTACCGGACGGTGAAATATTAGGCTTGCGCGGCCGAGTTTCATCTAAAAATGATTCATCGGGAGATGTTGGGTTCTCTGGAGAGGCGGGGTCCTCTGGAGAGGCGGGGTCCTCTGGGGAAATTATATCGTCCGGGGAGCTGCCTTCTGAAGGTTGTGAGCACGGTTGCGTGGAAGGCGATGGCTGTAAAGCGGGACGTGAGTGCATGAAGGGGGTGGAGGAGAGACTGATTGAGAGTTACAACACTCTTTTGGATGAGTTTGATGACAGTTTGGTAGTCCTTATTCCGAGGGCTGTCACTGAAGTGAAGGAGCGTCAGAGCGAAGGTTTCACAAACCAGCAACTTGTTTGCAGACACAAGGTAGACTGGCGTGCGGAACGGCCGGAAGTGAGGCTGTTGTCGTGCCTATTGGATAAGAAACAGTTTGACGCCCTTCGACAGTGGCTTCACTCTACTAAGACGTCGGGCATCAAACAGATTAAGTCAGAACAAGTCATCCAGAAAGGTCTCGAAATTTTCGTGTTTGGAGAAATCCCTCGACGCTCAGGAACGCTCCCAAACCCGTACTGGTACCTAGGCTGGCGGCTAGGCAAATACGAGAGCCGAGCCGTCGACAGCCGAGCTGGCGACCAGGTAAGTGAACTAAGTCGTTCCACCGACCAGGTACGATCGAGCGAACAGACGAGTACTGGAGGCCGCATCAAGTCCAGCGGTTCAACCAGAGTTTCCCAGGAAGTCACCCTACCAAATAGGATTGGCCGGAACGGTCATCAGAGACATACCCCGCCTGATTACCCTCCAGGAGTACTTCCTGATGAACGTTACGATGACCGTTACGAAGAACATTACGACGCTGACTACCTCCCTGACCGTTACGACGGCCGCTACGACGACCGGTACGACGACCGGTACGACGACCGGTACGTGGCTGACCGCTACGTCACCGACCAATTCCCCGGTCTTGACAGGCATCCCGGCGAAAGGCATCCGAACGAAAGGCATCCAGGGGGAAGGCATCTGGGCGAAAGGCAGGCGGCCGAAAGACACGCGAGCAAGCTCCCCTATAGGATGCACAGGCGCCCGTTAGCGTCGCCTTCAGATGGCCGGTCGGAGGGACTCCCCTCCGAGGGTCCGCCTTCAGACGTGTACTCCAGCCATCTCTCTCAGAGCGCGACCATGCCGAGCGAGCCAGGTCCGTCCGAAGGGGGAGACCCGCAGCGGCGAGATTCCCAACGACGAGATTCCCAGAGGCGAGACTCGCAGCGGCCCGACGAATTGACTGAACTGCAATATGCAGCCGAGCCGTGGCATCGTAGGCAGTGTGGGATGGAGCGGCAACTGGACCGGCGGAGTGGACCGGATCGTCATCGGTATGGGGACTACGATATAAGACGCGACTGCGAACAATCCGAGCCGAAATCCCCCTCTCGTCACCGCGGCACCACGGACCGACCTCCCCTAGATCACAGGGTCATGAAAGTCCCCAGACGCCGACAGGCTCCGGAACCGAGGTTTTCTGACCCCAGGTTCTCTGACACCAGGGTCTCTCATCCAGGGTTCGCTGACCCCGGATATACTAGCCGAAACATCGCTCTAGACGGCCCCCAAGGCGGTGAGATTTTTGACTCCGTTGACTCCACCTAACTCCATCGGGCGACCAGCTACCCAACACCACTGACCCTGGCAGCAGCCGCGCTGCCTGGGGCAACCCTGGGAGGGGGTGGGCTACATAAGGGGGGGGCGGTAGGCCAGACCGTGCTCGGCCCGGGTGGGGCCGTAGCTCGAAAGAACGGTGAGCTATTGAACGGGGCTATTGAGCGTAATGGAGAGTGTCCCCCTGTTGTTTAATGAAATCCCTGGATATGAGTTTGTGAACCTTCCCGTCAAAGAGTTCTCTTGTGAGATTTCCGTGGTGGCGGCACTCCATCTGGCAAATGAGGAAGAGCTGATCCCATTTAGCGTGCGAATTGGTCTTCAAGAATCGCATGATGTAAGCCTCGAGACCAATATCTCTGAAGAAAGACGGTACCTCGCGGGCCTCGGCTTCGGACGAGCCCGAAGTTTCGACCCGCTTCTGTCGATCTCTCTCGGCCTCCGATTGAAGCAACAATTCGTGGTAATTAACGCACGAAGAAGATTGCTCTGGACACACGTGAGCCGACAGCCGGTTCGTACCCCACTGCTCACCCCTCGTTATTAGCGCGTAGCAATTTGGCTCAATCTCCTTAATGCATGGACGGCCTGTCTTGCTCAAGGTCTCGAGTACGAGGTGGGCGGTCTCCGCATCCCCCCCGAACGCTTCGGTCACCTCAGCACGTGACATACTTCGTTTCTGACTTAAAAGAGTCATTACTAAATATTGACTTGTGGACACAACTAGACTGTCTCCAGTGCGCCTATCTTCAATGTGTGCGAAAGACGCTCTCAGGTCGAAAATTAGTAGCCGGTCTACAACATAGGAGGATAGGAAGACGTGCATGCATAACATAGGAAGATAGGAAGGTTACGTTTGAATTGACTTTTATAATAGTCAGCGTACTGACCCGCCAATGCGGCTACGTCTCCCGGCAGTTTCCAGTCTTGTGGGAACCAAAGATTGTTCGTGTTGGTAATTCGAGCATGTGTCTCGATTTGTCTTGTTTGAAACGATCGTAGAGAGAGCGCTCGAACGGAGATCCGGGGAATGTTGCAGCCTTTGGATTGTAGTAGGGACTTCTCGCAGTCTGACTTGATGCTGAGTAATTGGCTGACGTAGTTGTCTCCGCATTCGTCTTTCAGAAGGTTGATTACCATGTTCAGTCCGGTCACCGTATTGATTCGGTGAACTAGCAGCACCGATATGAGCTTGCTCTCCAGCAGCTTCTGCAACAAAGCCTTGTCTTCGAGGACCCTGAACACTGGCAGCACTTCTAAGTAGCTTGTCTCATCCTCGCAGCCTTCGACCCACAGAGCCTCAATGTAGTTAACAAGACAAGCAGAGAGCAACTCTCCCCTGGCGACAGACGAAAATGCATGACCAAAGTACTCCTTCAACACTCTGTACTCAACATACCCCACCCCCTCGCTGTTGCTAGCACTAGCGCTAGCGTTTCCGTCTTCAGGAGTGCGCGCTGTGCCACCCTGCTCCGTCACTACCATGGCGACAAACCGGAAGTAGAGGGTGGTAATGATTTTCACTTTCATTTGGTCAGTGACGGCGCAGGCGCTTGCGACTTGCTCGTCAGAAGACCTTGACAGCACCGCCTTCAGCACCTGAGTGGTCACGTTTGTTACCAGGCGACCCCAAGCCTGGAGCAAAGACTCGTACGCACTTGTGCCTCTCACCAAGCCTGAGACCAAGGCTCTCCAGGTCTCCCACTCAAGCAACGCTCCAGACTCAAACAATGTGGAAGCCGACACCGTTAGTGAAACCGACTGTGCTGAAGGTTGCGTCTCTGAGCCAAACACATCCAGCCTCACTATCTTCGTCTCTGGGCATCTTGAATGGGCCCTCTCCATAGGCAGTATCTCCTCCTCTTCTTCAATCGGACTACGTGTATCCTCATTACACCCACTGTACATTCCATGCGGGTTTCCCTCTCCAGTATCTGGTCTCCGTTTCTTTACGAAACATCCCTTTTGCTCTTGGCCGTTACTCTGAGGGTTAGCCCGCCCATTTAGGTCAGAGAACTGGAAGGTTAATAGTCGGGGTTTAGCTGCCGAGATCCAGAAACCATTGGGCTCGAAAAGCCTCGCCACTAATTTTCCATGGAATAGTTCTTCCCGCGAGTAACTCTGCTTATATGCATCTTGGTACCACTCCTCCATCTGGTTGATGACTCGTCTCAACGTGCCCAAACACTGGTGGTTCCGGAAGGAACCCAAAACCGCACTGACAGCCATGTCTGTTGCGACCTGAGCGGCGGCAATGTCCGCAATATCCAGATGTGCCATCAGCTCAGATATCACCTGGAAACGCTCCTTCCAAACGGCGCGATAACATCGGTAGCAACGATTCACAACCTCGCAGTGATGCTCGCCAGAATCCTGTTCATTACCAGATGCTTCGTCCATTTTCTCCGACGCCAGTCTCTGTACGAACGACTTCTCCCAAGCAATGATGTGATCCCACAAAGTTCGCTTTAAGTACTGCATGCTGTCCTCACGAGGAAGGTCCTCACGAGGAAGGTGCTCACGAGGAAGGTCCTCACGAGGAAGGTCCTCACGAGGAACGCCATCTCTGAGTTCATAGACATCTCGAGATTTGCACACGCCCGCTTTGAAAGCCTGGATGCACACACTCCGAGTGGATTTGTGAAATGTTTTCATTGTAAAGACCATGTCCAGGTAATCAGCAGCCGCAGCCAAAATATCGACCGTTCCCATAAAGCTCCTATAATAGCTCGCAACAGATTTGAGTAGGCCATTTTCAGATGGTGAATCTCCGCTGCCATGGCGATGCACATGAGCATGCTGAAACGGGTCAATCGTGGTTCTCAAAAACGGTTCAGCGACCTTCATGGAATTCTCTTGAATCTCTCGACACCAGATCTGGTGACATTCATGCTCGTAGCATAATATTACAGCCCTCTCCAAAAGCTGATGCAAGCGAAGTCTGTCTTGGAAGCTAATTCCTTTAGCCAGAAATGCTTTCCGGACGTATGACGGAATTTGACCTATGATTACCTCGCTTTTCGGCTTCGCCAAGGGTTGATACTCACTGAGCATGTCCTCCCGGCAATCCAAAGCACCCTCCATAGATTGCGGCTGCCATCGGCTATTGTTGACCATATATTTAATATGGCCCCTACCAGCACGCACGTGTGCTCTGCGCTCTGCTATCGACAAAGATTGACTACGTGTTTTATTTAAGGTCCATTGACACCATTTTATCCAACAGAAAGGATGCTGGGATGGGCCAAGGCAGTTGAGGTGTACTTGCCGTGGTCTTTAGGACTTCCTTATGATTGGTGTTCCCATGGGGTCGATGGGGCAATCAAGAAATCGGTAACTGAATTAGTTAAGGGGATGTATGCGGGTGCAATGGCCTCTCACTCCCAAGGCTTTAATCCACAAAATGGTGACACGGTGGAAACACTAACTTTGGGCATTTCCACGATCTTGCGCGAGATGGGTCTGCTGGAACCGGATGCAACGTCACATGAATCTGCGTCACTGAACTCACTGCTGGAGCTTTTAAGAACGGCATTGAGCGTCTTTCGATTACCTTCTCCAATGGACCCCCTGAAGAAAGTAGAGCATTTGTCTCTGGCGTTCTGCCGAGTTATCGACCTAGAATACCAGCTTTACAACGGCTCCTCTCCGATGGCATGTTTCGGTCAAGACGTTGCCGTCTCTCTAACTGCCTGCAGTCGTAACCTAAGAACGTCTCTACCGGATCTAATGGATTGTGAGCTGGACGCTCAACACAACGGAATGTCCTTTTCAGGACATTCAAACTCCCTCTCCTCCTCCACAAGGATTTCCTCCAATTCACGTCCCTCCTCTTCAATGTGGCTTCCCACCTCAATATGGCCTCCCACTAAATCAATGTGGCCCTCCAGCTCACTATGGCTGAATGGGGAATCGGAGCCGGCGTCACCATCGTCTGAGGAAGAGCCTTATATAATGAAAACCAAGTCATATGAGCATATCCCAGGTCTTCCACAAGACCAGGTATGTCACAGTATGGATCGGGAATTTCGTTTCACTGATCGGGAGTTGAACATACCCATCACACTGGTCAAAGAAGTATATCGTGACACGTCTGTTCCTGAGCGTGTGCGACGGAAAGAGATGCTTACGTATCTGGCACTGTACAGAGCAGTGATTATATTTTATCGGTCGGTTAACCCTTCGTGTCACGCAGTCTTGGGTATGCCCAACCTGGACAAGTTGACCCTTATTCCGGGTTGGTCAATTCAAAAAGTCCTGTTCGGCACTGAGGTTGGGTCCCGTATACGGCGGTCCCCGGCTTCCTCAGCTCCACAAGCAGACGACCGGACAGCACACGACCGGACAGCGCACGACCGGACCACGCACGACCGGACAACGCACGACTGGACAACGCAGGACCCAACAGCACAGGACCAAACAGCGCAGGACCGAGCCAGGTTGGAACACACAATCTCTGGAGGTGGTCCGGGCATTGGCCACATCATGGACGGCCCTCCTATAAGTTTACCTTTGATCTATTTCCTCAAGCAGTCACCTGGTACTTGGAACGTTGCGCAGCAATGCAAAGTTCTGGTTATAATACGTGGGACCCAAACAGACTTTGAGTGGTTAGGTGACTTTCAGTATCATACCTATCCTGCATTCATTGGACGATCAACAGCCCAACAGGGCTCGCTAAAGATGGCACTGGCTCTTTTCGACCCGGTCCGGAACATCCTGCAGGAACTACTGCAGGAGTGCGGTTGTAATAATGAACGGACTGAAATCATTTTCTCCGGACACTCTCTCGGAGGCTCCCTATCCGTACTTCTGAGTACAATGATCAAGTACCATTTCGAGCGAGTAAGCTACCTAGCCGACACACAGCTTAGCAGACACACGATTCACCCCCACATACCTCCACTTATGACTATCGTTGTAGAACGGGTGCGATTTGTCGATTGGAAGTGTGACTTTCTCAAGCCCACGGGTGCTCAATGGTTACCACCCGGGAGTGGTCTACCGGTCGATCGTGGATCGTAAAGACCCGATTTATTCTTTCCCGTGTTTCCACGGCTCCTTCGAAGGCCGGGTGGAGGGCAACGGGCGCGCCGGGTGGCCTCGGTGCGGGTCAGGTCACGCCGTTATTCGCGGCCAAGGCACTGACGCGTTCCCAACCCCATGGGGCCGGGTCGTCATGGACGCCAAACTGGTCCCGGGCATAAATTACCAAGCTCAAGACAATGCCACATTCGCCACCAACCAGCAGTACCAAACGTTCCTCGATAACCACGCAAGAATCACCGACTGGATCTCCGCTCTAGAGCCCACTCCAGAAACTATTTCCCAGCTTCGCTTCTTACCCAGGACGTTGCAATATACCTACCATGGTCCACCCATTACTGAGTCTACACCCATGACCGAGTCTACACCCATGACCGAGTCTACACCCATGACCGAGTCTACGCCCAATACCATGCCTTTGGGACTCCCATTCCGAGAAACTCCGCCACATGTTCGTCACGCCAAGTCGGTCCCCAATTTGTTACCTCTTCCTGACCTAAGATCTCTTCCCGACCTAAGATCTCTTCCCGACCTAGGATCTCTTCCCGACCTAGGATCTCTTCCGGACCTGGGATCTCTTCCCTACCTGGGATCTCCACCGGGTGTAGGCCCTCTTCCTGAGTTTGGGCCTATTCCAGCGTTCGAGTCTTTATTGAAACAAGATGTTTCTTGGTCGGGGTTGCGGACAAGCCGGATGGGTACGGACGAAGCACTTTCGGATTTGGAGGAGGCTCTTTCGGATCTGAGTGATATTTTTGGCCCCAAGGTTGTTCCGGAAGCGGTCGACCGGAACGCCACCACTGGTTTGGTGACGATTCCGGCGGTCGGTCCACGCATAAATCCGGCTACGAGCTTGTTGCAATGGGTCAACGCCTACGCTGGTAACGCCGCCAGCAAAATGGCCCACGCTCTAAGATTGATGCTACGCCAATTCGAGACCATCTATTACATACCGACACGCCACGATTTGATCACTGGCCACGCCAGCTCCGTCAGCTGCGGACTCAGCAGCGCCTGCCGCGCCACCAGGAGCAACTTCGTCTGGAGATGCGACTACTGATCGTCGCGGACATCTTCAATGGCTCGACAGGAGGAGGAGGTGTTTATCCTTTAGGAACAAGCCAAGTGGAGAAGCACATGGGGCAGCGCCTGCCGTGGTCGGTGAGTTCTGTCCAGAGTGTTTCGGAGCCGTCCCACAGCACGTCGGCGAAGAAGAACTGGTCACAGTGGTGACAGTAGGGGTTGTCCGCTCGGCAGAAATCGAGCTCGTCGAGAGGTTGTTGTGTTATCAGGTAGGTGGCCATGCGATAGGCCTGGTCCGTTTCGGTGTCGTTCCTGAGTCGTTGTGCAAACTCCATGATGGAGAGTCCGTTTCTCACGAACTCGCTGATGTCTTTCTGTCTCGACGCTTTGCTGAGAGCCTTGTCGACCAGGACGCCGGCGGTCGGTGCCTGGTCAGCTAATGCTTCGTGGCCGTTGCGTTCCTCGTGGTGGCTGTGTTCTTCCTCACGACTGTGTTCTTCCTCACGACGGCTGTGTTCTTCCTCACGACGGCTGTGTTCTTCCTCAGGACGGCTGTGTTCTTCCTCGTCGAAAATTTCGGTTTCGACCACGAGCACTTCATCCTTAGACAGTTCATCCGGCCGCGCTTCGTCCTCCTCGTCGTCGTCGTCAATGCCTGGGACCGAGGGAGTCAGGTCGAACACGAGTCGGGCATAGTAGCAGATGAGTTTGAGGATTAATTGGGGCACGACGGGAACGAGTTCCTTATGGTAGTATGTTTTGAACACAATCGCGCGCAGGAGATAGAGCAGCCGCACACCGGCCGGGTGCTTCGTCTCCACCAAGCGCGCGAAGTAGTCAGCGTGCATCACCCGTCCTCCGACCCCCAGCCGCTGGAGCATGTAGACCAGCACACCTACCGCCATGGCCACCAGTGGTCCTCCGAGATTGTCCCCTTGGACCGAGTGGGCTTGGACTGGGTCGAGGCGTTCCAGCGCGGCCTTGAGGTGCTCGAGGAAGTTGTGGAGGGGAAGTTCTTCATTGAGGTCTTCGGCGATGGGCGTGTCGGCGTTTGGGTCGACGAGAGATTTCAGTTGGAGTCGCGGGCCGGACAGATCGGGTGCACGTTCGGGGTCCTTGAAGCAGAGGCGCCAGCTGGTAAGGTGTGCAAAGCGGGCGCTTTCGGGGTGAGTAATTGCATGGTAGAGTGCGTGGCAGAGCCGTGTTGTTACAGGTTCGGCATAACGTGGTAGCCAACCGGCGTTGAGCGTAGCCATGGTGCCCACGCTCTCAAAGATCAGACACAGTCCGCTTTGCAACACGCAACTGCCCGATACGAAACGCAGCCGCGAGTCGAGGAAACGATCCGCCATGTCAAGAGTCCCCACCTTCGTCTCGTCCACCAGGTTCATGATGTACGCGTCCGTACTCTTCGTCGGACGCGTCTCTCTCACATAGCCGTACTCCCCCGAGTGCTCCAGGTCAATACCCACAACGTACGCCAACGCACCCGAAGCCTCATGCAGGGCGACCAACCCTCCCGCCACGCCGGGTCGACTAGCCGCAGGCGAAATCATCACTTCCTCGGCCGCCACCACCGAGCTGTTCCCCTTTGGGCTGTTCCCCCCGTGCGTAGCAGTGCTAGTAGTAGTGGGATGCCGCATTTCCAGGACGTATTCCTGCGCCTCGAGTTTCGGTTTTTTGGCGCCGAGCGGTTGCTTCCTCCCGACCGCCGCCTTTTTGATGGCGGCTTTCCTGGCAGCTGCCTTCTTGCTGGGTCGACCCCGTCTGCGGGGCGGGTCGGGGACGGGTTCTGGGAGGGCGGGTGGCGAGTTGTCGGAGCCGGTCAGCGCCTCGGCGACCGCAACCTGCCCGGTCGTAGTGGTGCGCACACGAAAGCTGAAAACCGCCAAGCGCGCACTCTGGGTCGCAAGCACAGCGAACTCCGTACTCCCTAGCGGCGACTCGGGACGCAGCTGAATGCTGAGGGAACTGAAAATGTCGCCTGGCCGGTCTCTCCGTATTAACACCGATTGCCAACGAGCCATGTGCGACATCCTGGATCCCGACGTCTCAGCCACGGGAACAAGAAGCAGGTGCGCGACAATGAGCCGTCCAACGGAGTCACTCAGCGCCAAGATGCAGTGCCCACGCCCGCCACACGCAGGCGCCACCGCCACGTCCACGGCCACGACCGTGTTCAGGTCCGTCTCTTCGCCGCCGATGTCGAACCACGCCAGCGGCATCAACTCCCCGCCGTCCTGCACCCCTTCCCCCTGCGCCGTCTCTCCAGTCTGTGTGCCACCCGGGGTAGCTTCCGGCGTAGCATCCTGCCCCCCAACCGGTTGGTCGCCGCCGAGTTGGTCGCCAAGGAGTTGGTCCCCGCCGAGTTGGTCGCCAAGGAGTTGGTCGCCGGTAACCAAGTAGACGAAGGCGACTTTGGAGCAGGCGGCGACCAGGATGTTGGTGCGCGGGTCCAGTGGCGTGGTGGAGAGCGAGGCGGCCCAGGCTTTGAGCCAGGCCTCGCCTTTGCGTGGGCGTTTGGCGACCAGGCGGTCTCGCGTGGGGACGTACTCGTCGGGGTCCACGGCCACGAGGGCGTCCACGGCGACGTTCTGGCCATCGGCGTCTCGGATGTCAGCGGCGACACAGCTGACGCCGGGTGGCAATTTGGCGCCGCGTTCGAGCAGTGTGCGCAGGAGGTTGTAACGCAGAGGTAGTTGCGCCACGGAATCGCGTAACAGATCGTAGCTCGTCACCCGCGTCAATACCAGATCGCCGTCCCGAGACATGACCAGAATGGGCCACACGTACAGGCGGGCGGTCGAGCTCGTTGAAATCGAGTTTGCCCTAGTCGAGTGTGAAGCCCTAGTCAGAGAGGCGTCCAATTTAGGACCCACCAACGAGGAGATGAACCATCTCGCGAGATTACTGCAAGTCAAGTCGGTAATTTTTGACTTGGGGAAATAATCTATAGGACGCATTCCTAGCTTTTCTCCATCAGGTCGCGAAGGCGTCGAAGCCTCGGGCTCAAACAGATTATTCTGGGTCCACTTGCCGCCACTCATCGGAACCAACTTCCTCCTGGCCCCGCTGGTGGTCCACGGTTCCTTGCGCTGTGCATTCCTTCGCATGGATTTCTTGTTATCCAGCCTCCTATACACAGGCAACTGGCATCGCTGCTTCCAATCCCGGGCCACCTGCTCCAGTCCGAAGGATGCGATGAGCCAATGGTCCATACACAATCGGACGCTCACGGGGGCCATACACGACATCACATTCAACACCATGACTTGATCCTTGTCTGTATACACGCAAAACACGTCTTCGTCCGGAGGCACCGACAAAGCACTTCCGGCCTCATACTTATTATGTAGTCTAATCAACTCATAGACCCAGGTCATACCAGTTTTTAAAAAAGCCCCCCCCCAGTACATACAAGCTGCTGAACGAGCCCCGTGAAGTTAGTTCTATCAGCTGTTGGCAACAAGTCGTGTGCAAACATACTCGTGTGCCTTCTATGTTAAATTATGCTTACCAAAAAGTGCGATCGCTCTAGTTCATTCCTATTTCGACGGGTTCCTGAATTTCTCACCGGCGAAAGATCCGTTGTCGGCCAGTTCCTCTTCGATTCTCATAATCTGGTTGTACTTCGCAAGTCTCTCAGATCTGCAAGGGGCACCAGTCTTTATCTGGCCTGTTCCGAGACCAACGACGAGGTCAGCGATGAAAGTATCTTCAGTCTCACCAGATCTATGGGAGACCATGACACCCCAGCCGTATGACTGGGCAAGCTTCACGGCTTCAATGGACTCGCTTACGGATCCGATTTGGTTCACCTTAAGCAGGAGGGCATTGCAAGCTTCGTGCTCCTTCGCCCAGGCGATACGCTTGGGGTTGGTCACAAGAAGGTCATCGCCGACAATCTGGATCTTGCTGCCAATCTGCTTCTCCATGTTGGCCCAGGCAGCAACATCGTCCTGGTCGAAAGGATCCTCGATGGACACCATAGGGTACTTGTCAACGAACTCCAGATACACCTTAACCAGCTCCTCACCCTTCAGCCACTTCGATTTGTCGGAATCCTTGTTCTTGAAGTCCAAGTCGTACAAACCACCCTCCTTGAAGAACTCGGAAGCGGCAATATCAGTGCCAATCTTTATCTTCCCGTCGTGGCCCGCGGCCTTGATGGCCTCAACGAGAAGGTTGAGCGCCTCGAAGTTGTCCTGGATGGAGGGTGCGAAGCCGCCTTCATCTCCAACGTTTGTGGCGTCCATTCCGTACTGCTTTTTGATGATGCTCTTCAGGTTGTGGTACACCTCAGCACCCATCTGGATAGCCTGAGAGAATGAGGTGGCTCCAACGGGAAGGATCATGAACTCCTGCATGGCAAGCTTGTTTCCGGCGTGAGATCCTCCGTTGATGACGTTCATCGCAGGGACGGGGAGAACAAACTTCTCGGTATCCTTGCCCGCTAGCTTAGCGACATACTTGTAGAGGGGCATCTTGTTAGCCGCAGCACCAGCTCTGGCGATGGCCATGGAGCATGCAAGGATGGCATTGGCGCCCAACTTCTGTTTGCACCAGCCCCACTCGTTCTGAGTGCCATCGAGCGTCTCAACCATGAGCTTGTCCAAGCCTGTCTGGTCAACAGCGTCCTTGCCGATCAGAGCGGGGGCAATAATGGTGTTAACGTTGTTAATAGCCTTTAACACACCCTTACCAAGGTAGGTAGTCTTGTCGCCATCACGGAGTTCGAGAGCCTCGTAGATACCAGTAGAGGCACCAGAAGGCACGGCTGCTCTGAAGCATCCTTGCTCCGTCGACAGATCCACCTCCACGGTAGGGTTACCTCTGGAGTCGAGGATTTGGCGTGCGTGGACAGAAACAATCTTGGAAGCCATGCTGTGTGATTGAACTATAATATTTCTATTTCATTCCCTCCATCCATCCAGCTCCGGTGACAGCCTGTCGCACTTGGCCAGACGGCTGCTGAGCTGGTTGTGACCCGAGGGCTGAACGGGGTGCCAAAGTGGTTCTCTACCGATGCCGACCGACGGGTCCGGGTCTGCTGTCACCCTTGCCGAGGTTTCTCCTGGAATGGAAGGATTGCTGATGTTGTTTCTCGTCTGAGTTGGTTCCAGTCCGAAAGTCTTTTGGGACAGAAAAGACGTCGGGCATATTTGAGACAACGTTTGCAGCGCATTATTGGGGAGATAGACGTTTTTACAAGGGTCGAACCAGGAATCCAGAATGCTACCAGCCCAAAAAGAACTCCCTTCTTCCTACGAGGCTTCTTCCTACGAGGCCTCTCCCAGTGGCCAAGAGCCGAACAAACCTACGCCGGAGTTCTTCCCCAGTGGCGGGAAGAATTACGGAACATAATCTAGTACTGCACTAACTGGGTAACGATGACTACGCAGTGGCCGAGTTGGCCTATTGTGACGCATGGAGACCTCATATAACATAATGAGGACTCACACGCACGTGTGCTGCGAACTACCGCCAGCTGGAGAGACAAAGCCAGCTAGACAAAGGAAGACAAAGGAACAATTAGGCCTAGAATAGATACAGTGGGCTGAGAGGGACCCGACCGATTACGTGGACATCGTCGATTAAGAGATGGCCATCGAGTATCGTATCGTGAGCAGCAGAATGAAGGACGATGCCGTTCCCATTCCCTCCGATGGCACAGTCTTCCAACGTCTGTGGGTAACACACATTATATACCACTCGACTGTAATTGGGGCTTCTGGAATGTCCCCATACACGAAGTACACCTAACGGCATTCACTGCATGGACCTCGATGATGTATACAGCACCATATGTTTATGATGGCTTCTACCTAAAGCTGAAGAACTGCGGCTGGCTGCGAGACAGAGTGACATTGAGTAGGTACGACCAGTATTTCTCCGTAGAGAGAAAAGCTCCAAGCTCTCCAAAAGTCTCGAGGATCTCGCATCTTCTGGAAAGTATGGACCTTTCCCCTCTGCGGTGATATACTAGTCGTTTCTACTCCGGCTTCAAACAGCTGAGTTCAGTATTTCCTTCACATTCATTCTATAGACGATTCGTACTCGTATATGAAGTGCTACCCCTACAAGAACTAATGACCCCAGTGCGGGTAGGGGAGTCCCCAAGCCTTTCATATAGTTGTTTGCATTCAGAACGGCGGCTTAGACCTAGTGCACATCGCCCTCGGCGTTTGCCGGGGTTGGAATTGACGAGTTCGTTGGGGAGAGTCGAAACTGATCATCTTTGGCGGGGCGCGTAGCTCGCGTACCTACGGCGCTGCGGTAGTGACGCAGACAGACGAGGACAGCGGAAGTCCCAGGGACCGTCTTGAAGGTTTCGCAGAGTTTTGACTATTTTTACACGGCATAGACCTGTGCCCCTCTGGCACCAGCGTCACAACACGATGGCTCATTTTAAGGGGGGGGGGTGTGTAGTTGTCAACGGCTGTCCCAAGAAGGGTGGGACTGTGGCTTCCTAGGTTTTTAGGTTAATAACATGTGCTGTGTTTGCATCAATAATAAAAAATACCTCGTTAACTTACTTAGGTGTCCACTCAGGCGCACCCGCCGTCCACTCAGGCGCACCCGCCGCCACCGCACCTCGTGACCACGGTGGGGTAGGTTTTCTCGGACTTAATCGTCAATGCCCAGGGCGTCACAGCGGACGCCGCAATATTTGTATTTGTCCCCGACGCAAGAGGCCATGCTAACCCCGTCGATAATGACTGTGGCGCAAGTCGCAGTGCTACCCGGACGGAAGTCCTCGCAATAAGACTGGCAGATGGGGATCCAATCGTCGGTCTCTGAAGTGACGGCGTTCTTGCAATCTTCGACCATCTGGTCCGTCTTCTCCGGAGTCAGGGGCGTCTTCCCGTTCATGCAATATGTCTGGTTCTGCATGATGCACGCAATCAAAGAGTCGCCATCAGCCACCTCACTGCAATTCGAAGCCAAGTAGCCATTCGGTCCGTACGCATCACACCAACCCCGGCACGTCTCGACCCACTCATCGTGCGTAGAAGTAATGTCAGTTCGGCAATCCTCCACCAGATCCGCACACGCTACGGCCACCAATCCGACAACTGCTGTGAACTTCATGACTAGGTAATGACTTGTGATTTATTCGTCTATTCTTAAATTCTTTTTCACAGCCAGCGACACCAAGTCTTCTACCTGTGTGAGTAATTTTACCAGCGTGAAATCCCACTGTCTTCACTCACAAATCTTGGCTGCCAACATTGCTGCCGATCCTTAACCGATCTTTCTGCACCGATATTCTATACGACCTTCTATACGACCTTCTACACGATATTTTTATTCAAAACAGTCCTATTCAACCAGTGCAGTGCAGCTTGGCAGATGCCAGCCGCACCGAAGCATCCGGTGAACCCACGGTCTCAGGTTTTAGGGGGCTGGGAGTTGCTCACACTGAGTCAAAGAGTGTGTGCTCCCAGTCTACAGGGGTGTAGTGTGAGTGTGTGAGTGTAGTGGCAGTCATGGTTCGGTAAACAAGAAGAATGTTAAACTTGGGCTGCACCGCCCTGAAGATCTTAATCCGACCAGTGGAGATCTTAGTCCGACCAGTGGAGATCTTAATCCGACCAGTTGAGATCTTAACCCGGCCCGTGGAGATCTTGATCCGACCCATGGGGAGGATGTGAAACCCGGGACACAGAGGACTCCACCAGTCATGGTTTGACTGACTGTTGATGGATTATCGACCAAGCCTATTGGTAATTACCAAGGAGGTATTTCCCGAACAATTTTTTTCAATGGCAGCTCAGGACTTGGTGGTGCTGCCGTTGCCCGACGCCACTGCGGACAAAGTGGAGAAGCTGGCGAAGGTGCTTACGAAGCGCGTGAAGGAGAACGTTGCTAAAGCGGGAGTACGACCGGACCGAGTGACTGTGGAGGTGGCGGTGAACGGGGAAGGCGCCTGTCGCCATTTTGGTGCGATCGACGGTCTGTGTGATATGGAAGCGTCTATTCCGTACAACTTTATCCAGCCCGTCCTTGACAACGTCCTGAGCTTCAAATTGGACAAGAAGCATGAAATATATTTGGCTTCCTCGAAGGCGATCAAGAACTTCGATGGGAACAGGGTGGAAGAGGAACTCGAAGTATTGACAGCCAAGAAGCCCGGACTGAACCTGAATACCTACGACAAGGCTCTGCGCGGGGACTTGTGGAACTGGTTCCAGAGTTCTGGTGATGAGATGTTTGTACTTAGACATAAAGATGAAACCGAGATTCTACGATTGGATTCCGCCACTATGGAACCCCACTTAGTAAATCATGGCGAAGCCGCGGCCGCAGAGCGTAAGGCCCTGGGTGCTGCCATTGAAGGCAACCTACCGGCCTGGACCAACAGGAAGGCTTTCTGGTCTCCTCAAGGCACCTTTCTGGTCACTACTCACACGCAGGGAGTCCGACTTTGGGGCGGAGAGAACTTCCACTCGGTCGCCCGCTTGCGTCATAAGGACGTTGAGACCGGAATTTTCTCCCGGAACGAAGAGTACCTGGCGACCTGGGATGGCGTCTTCGGGAATGACAAAGTATATGTTCATTCCGTCGTTACTTGCGAGACAATTGCCAAGCTGGCAACACCTAAACAGAATCCTGACGAACCAATGCAGTGGCCTCTGCTGTGTTGGTCTCACAACTCCCAGTACTTTGCCATTGCCTGTGACGATGGAATAAAAGTGTACCACATCGCCAATGCCATGGGACCTGTCGTGGAGGTCTCCTACGCGGATCCAGTGGCCGGCAAAATTCCGTACTATCCTGCGCCTGGCGCCACCTTCTCGTGGCAGCCTAATTCGCGCGTAGGAGACCCCGCTGTCCTCGCTGTCTGGACCGCAAAACCGAGAGAAGTCGCCCCCAGCCGACTTACGCTGTTTGAGATCCCAACCTTCAAGGTCTTGGCTACTCGCAACATATTCAGCATTGACGGCATCGCCAGAATCTACTGGAGCCACCACGGAGAGTACTGTGCCCTCGTTACCCAAATCCAGGCGAAAGCCGTCATGGGGCAAAAGCGGGCCGTCCACTCCCAGTTGGATGTCTTTACGATGAAGGCATTCAGGGGTTCTCTGCCCGTGAGCTCGGTCAGCATTCCTCACGAAATCATGACCGTGTCGTGGAGTGAGTCTCGCGACCGACTGGGTATCCTCTCAATGAATAAAGAAGTGATCTTCTATGCAGTCACCAAAAAGGGTCTTGAGCAATGCGGAGCGCCGCTGGATGTTCCCCGGGAGATCAATACCATCTCCTGGTCGCCCCTCGGAACACATTTTGTCTTGTCGGCTTGCTCAGTTGAGGACAGCGCTGGCACTCTGTGGTTCGGTGTGTGCTCTGACGTGTCTAACCCGACGGGGTCTTGGCAGTCCGGATCAGGGGCTCGTCTCATACCGGGAGTTGGGCTATCGGGTAGGGGAATGGCAGCGAACTCTGCGACCCGATCTATCCCGGGCGCTCCCTCCGGGATAAAGACAGCAGGAGGATCCTCTGGTACCGCTAAAGATGTCGCTGGCTCTAGCAAGTTGTTTACTCCGGAAATTTTGTTCAAAGGTGAACAGATGAAGTTGCAGCACGTGGAGTGGGACCCCAGCGGTCGCTACGTGTCGACAAGTGTTTCATCTCCTGTCGGCTCCAAGTCCGGTTACAAGATTGACGAGATCGCCGGTTACACTCTTTGGTCATGTCAAGGAAAAGCCATCTACAACGCAAGTGTTGAAGGGCTTCACCGATTCCAATGGCGACCGCATCCGTTTGTCCACATGCCAGAGTCCGTGCGAGAGTCAGTCAAAGATTCGTTTGGCCAATACACAAAGACCTTCGAAGCGCAGGACAGCAAGCGGAAGACCGAGAGACGAGAACTAGTAATGAAGTGCCGCAGGCAACAGAAGGACGCCTTTGAGCGGCTCGTGGCGGAGGCTCGAGAAAGCTGCAAGGCGCTTGAAGGGGCGTCCGAATGGGAACAGATGGAAAGAGATTATCAACAGTCCAGGAATCTAGTGAAGCACGTACAGGAAAATCTGCATGAGATATCTGTGATCGTGAAACCGGCGCTCATTCCAACGAATTGATTTTTTTGGCCCGTCTATTCTGACTACCTCTTCGGGACATTATTTTGTCTCTTTAACAACATCCATGTGAGTCTGGGACGTTGTTTCGCTGTAACCGAACACTTTTTGACGTTTTAGTTGTGTGAATTTCCGATTTGTTTCTTTTGCAAAAGGTGAAGGTTCACGTCACCAATGATACCCTGGACAAGATGCTCGAGAACGTGGTAGTTCACGCTGAAGTATGTTAGGTGTAATTTGGAGAAGGCGTACACCGAGACAGAACCATGTGATTTTTTTTTGGCCCACACTGCCTATGTCAGGGACGGAGTTGATACTGCTGTCATTGCCTGATGCTGGAGCTGAAAAGGTTGAGAAGCTTGCGAAGGTGTTGACGAAACGCATGAGGGAGAATGTCGCCCAAGCGGGAGTGCGTTCCGACAAAGTTTCCGTTAAGGTGGTGGTGGACGAAGAAGGCGCCTGTCGGCACTTTGGTACTGTTGACGGTCTGTGTGACATGGATGCTTCCATTCCTTTCAATTATATACCGCCCGTACTTGACAATATTGTCAGCTTCAAGTTGGACAAGAAGAATGAAATATATCTGACATCATCCAAGATAGTTAAAAGCTTCGATGGTGATAGGATTGAAGAGGATTTGGAAGCGCTGGCAACAAAACGTCCGGGACTGAATCTGAGTACGTACGACAAGGCTTTACGAGGTGAATGGTGGAAATGGTTTCTCGACTCTGGTGACGAAATGTTTGTGCTTAGACATAAAGATGAAACCGAGATTTGGCGATTGGATTCCGCCACTATGGAACCCCACTTGGTGAACAAGGGTGAGGCTGCGGCCGCGGAGAGAAAGGCACTTGGTGCTGTCATTGACGGTAACCTGCCGGCCTGGACCAGCCGGAAAGCTTTCTGGTCTCCCCAAGGCACCTTTCTAGTCACTACTCATACTCAAGGAGTGAGACTTTGGGGCGGAGAAGATTTCCAATCTGTCGCCCGCTTGCGGCACAAGGATGTTGAGACTGGAATCTTTTCCAGGAACGAAGAATATCTTGCTACATGGGATGGTCAATTCGGAGCCGATAAAATATACATCCATTCCGTCGTTACAGGTGAGACAATTGCTAAGCTGGCGACACCTAAACAGTCGGCACCTAGACAGGACACATCTACAAAACAGGACATACCTACTAAGCAGGACACATCTGCTAAGCAGGACACATCTGCTAAGCAGGACACATCTGCTAAGCAGGACACATCTGCTAAGCAGGACACATCTGCTAAGCAGGACACAT